CACACACACACATACACACATTACCTGGGATGGATCTTTTGTCTGAGCGATATGTTGTGATACGGAACAAAATAATTCCTTTCCAAATTCACGTAAATCTTGTCCAGAAGAGTTTTCGCTACCCTGATGACTTTTAGTAACAAAATATAATAACAATTTTATTCTCTGCCACCAATGTGTTAAACGTCTTAGTCCGTTTATATCAATTTGTGTGAACTATTATACTACTTCAACAATGTTTCTGAGAGTCGCTAAACGTGTAAAAAAAAAAAAGAAAGAAAGAAAATCTATTTTTACGGGAACGAACCAGGATTTATAGGGTACAAGGCAAAAGCCTTAACCATCCCACGTAGATGGCTTCACAACTGTTAGCAAAATAAATCTGCCAAAAGAAATATTATGTTAAAAAGTAGAGAATCAATAACTCATTTTGTTTATTTTGTTTTGAGGGGTGGTGGTTGTGGTTGTGGTTGTTGTTGTTGTTGTTTTGTTGTTGTTGTTGTTGTTATTATTGTTGTTGTTGTTGTTGTTGTTGTTGTTGTTATTGTTGTTGTTGTTGTTGTTGATGTTATTGACATTTTTTTGGGGTGGGGGTGGTTCCGGAAGGGATTTTTCTCTTTAAAATGTCCCAGATGTCCCGTTTGATAGCTTGCTGCTTGTATTCTGAAATGATTATATTAATATCATCAACATGAGGCAAAGTTATGCCTCTGAGAACAATAGTAGTCTGGCACCCGAGTCGGTATTTTGACCGCTATCTCGTAGGTGAAACAGAAACATGATTCTTTGATAAAGTGTGAAGTGTGCTGACAAATTGAGTTACCTTTTACAATCTCCAAATGGAAATATTTGTCTAAAATCGACACGTACTTAAAATTTCAGGTGCTGATCTGATACCATTTTCTTAAAGTTTAACATTTCTTTTATCATTTCATTTCAATAGATTGCATAAGGTCAATCTATAAATTCGACACATATTTGTCCAAAAGGGCTCATCTCCGTGATGTAACTCATTTTGTCAGCATGCCCCCTACTTTGTTCTGAAGGTATATAATCAAGTTTCAGTTTTTAAAAACCCATCCAAAACTTCCTCCCATTCTGACAGAAATAATTTAATGTAAATTTTTAAAAAAAGAAACAAACAATAAACAAAACTCAATCAGTATGTTTGTCATCTGTTTCCACTTATGATAAGTAACAATAGTTCAAAACCAAAATCAAACAACTTTTTCAGTTTTCGGAATCTATTACAACGGCGTGGAAAAATCATTAAAAAGTAAAGATAAATAAGGGTAAAGGCATTTAATGTGTAATATAAGCCTGTTGATGTCATCATTAAAGCTGAATTTTAAAAAAAAATCCATTCATAGCTACATTTGACTATAAGTGGTTGAAAATAATTAGCAGTAAAAATCTTTCATTCTTTACTTTGGGTTCTTTATAATCTGCATGCTTCCCAGGATGTTGAGCTTATTTCGTGAAGCTATCGGGCCTCTGCTGGGGGTAATAGAAGATAATATTGTAAAACGCATAAAGCTTTTTGTTGAGCGGGAATTTACACTGTACAAATGCTTTTATTCACTATTCATTATTATTATTATTATTATTATTATTATTATTATTATTATTATTATTATTATTATTATTATCATTATTATTATTATTATTATTTATTATCATTATTATTATTTATTATTATTATTATTATTATTATTATTGTCATTATTATTGTTTTTATTATTATTATTATTATTATTGTTGTTATTATTATTATTATTATTATTATTATTATTATTATTATTATAATTATATTTTTTAAATCATCATCATTATTATTGTTTTTGTTATTATTATCATCATCATTATTATTATTACTCTTACTACCATTACTGTTTATTCATTTATTCATTATTCATTTATTTATCTTTTTCAAAAACGTTTTAAAGTTCTCGGGCTCCTCTTCATGTATGTGTATGCTGTTCCTTCACTTCATTAGTTCTTGCACGTATCTGTAACGTTGCGATAGCTGGTGATGGCTGGCTTGTCCGTCACGCTCAGATTGAACTGGTTTGAGGGGAAAAACATAATGACACCATAAACTACAGATGCAAACACAAAAACACTGCCCCCATACAAGAAAAATGTGTATCTCTATCTGTTCCCTCCTACCAACTCGTCTTGGCCCAGTAGTTTAGGTACTAATACTACTGACAAAGTCACCATCATAATATGAGACTTCGTGCAAACTTTCGGAACCTTCGGTGAAACTTTAAAGATGACTTCACTAGGGAGCGGGACAGAGGGTGCCCACCTCGTGACTCGAAAGAGCTGAGGAATGTAGGACTATCATGATCTAAACAATTAACTACTAAACAGTTGTGGTAGCCATCTCCAACTGGGGGTATGGCAACACTTAGATGTGAAACTTGCCAAAAAACGTTAAAAGAGTGAAGGAACATGTATTCACGTATTTATTAATGTATTTATCTATATGTAAAACATTTTCCTGTGTGTTTACTCTGAGACTAACAGCTAATTGCAAACCCCATAAAGTAGTACACTTTGTTGTTATTACTAAACACAAAAGCGCCAGATGATAGAATTGGGAAGGGTAACAAAAAAAGTAAGAACACCATAAACATACTTCGTTGAAGTATGCCAACATAATTTCTTTCTTTTAGAATAACTGTTAAGATGAATGACGGGTAGAGTTAGTGAGATAAGCAGTAAAACAAACTGCGTACATCTTAGAAATGACCGGATCAGTCACGTCCTTAGATAAAGGAGTTATGATAAGAGTACAAAACAAACGTGGTTCTACACAACTTACTCACACCGTTTCGTTTATAACATTGGTCTCTGCGTTTGTATGTGTGTGTGTGTGTGTATGTGTGTGTGTGTGTGTGTGTGCGTGTGTGTGTGTG